CTGCCCTTGTAGGGTGATGGTTTGTGTAGGTCTTTTGAGATAGCCTTTATCACTGGACACTCTTGAGGGGTGAGCCCAGCAAACGGACTCAAAAGGGAACAAGGATCTATGGTTCTTCTCCCCACAAACACCTGGAAGCCCGAGGGTATGGGACCTACTTTTCGATGGCTGACACGTCACTGGTGTTGAACTTCCCTTTGGTAAGCAGCTCCGGGGTGATCCGCCCTTCAAACAGGAGACCCTCCTTGGCCATCTTGACCAGGATCAGCCGAACCAGCTCCCCCAAGTACATGCCGCTGACCATCTTCTCAAACCTGCCGGAGACGAGCACACGGGGTTTGCGGGCTCTTCCCCACACTAGGTGCCCGGGGACTGGCCACACGAGGAGAGGAAGGTGCTGCCCCTCCCCTCCCAGGGCAACAGTCCCATGATGAGACACAGCAAGAGCAGGTGTGGTCTCCCCACAGGGCTCAGAGGGGCTGGAAGCCTCTTGCAGACAGGGTGAGGGATCCACACGGCACACCTGCCCCTGCAGAGGCTGATGGGAGAACACCAGTGGGCAGGCACAGGCAGGGAGGCTGCCTGGAGGTGAGGGCCAGATGAGGGTCCAGGTGGGGGTAGGGGTGGGCACCAGAATAAAGACCCCAGGCAGAGAGATCCCCACTTCCACCTCTCTCTGTACAGACGCTGTTCAGAACTTTCACAGTCGGCACCCCGTCAGCGAGATCCTAACCCCTTAGAAACAGGGTGGTCGGGACACATCACTGTCATGTGTCTTCTCGAGAGCAGGCAGACAGGGCTGCAGGCTGCTCTCCCTGTGGGGTGGCCATCAAGGCCAGCGCTGGCCAGCCCCCTGCATTCACTCTCTTTTTCTCCACTCAATAGTGCCAAGAACTTGCTTTGGGGAACCCAGTCCTTGCGCCTGCCCTTCCCGCTAAATCCCAGTGGTGGGAAGAACTGAGTCTCTTAAGCCAGTCAGCAGTCAGCGTCCGCGCGTCCACTGCTCCGGCCAAGTGTAGGCCTGGGCCAGGCACAGAGAGTGCTGTGGCTGCAAAGCCAGGCTGTCGGCTGTGTGACCACAGTAGCCATTTGGGTCCAAGGCTGACGGGTGGTGGTGGCCAGGAGAAGCCTGAGGGTGATGTCTGGCTGTCCTGGGGCGGGCCAGGTCTGCACCAGAGGCAGGCCCCTGGACTGAGCACATCCGAGAGGCAGGTTCCCCATTTCTCCCCTCCGTGGGAGTCCAGCTGGCACACCCAGGGTTGGCTCTCGGATGCAGCAAGCAATCTGTTCCAGCCAAGGAGCTGCCGGCACCCCAGCACCCCACCTTCCCCTCACTACGGGCCACAAGGAGACTTCCGGCCCCATTAGAAACACTGTCCTCATTGTTCCCACGGTGGACAGGACCAGACGGGCCCTCCCCAGGCAGGCTGCCTCCAGGGTCCCTGGCAGGAGAGCCTTTGAGCAGCTGGTTGCTGTCCCCGCGCCTGTCGGAGTGGCCTCTAAGCAGATCTCAGGGTTCGGGACTGGCAGGGTTGAAGTAAAGCCAGACCTCACAACCCCGGCTCTCCCACCAGTAGGTAACACACCTATCTGTGCCCCAGCTGCCTGTCTGTACAGGGGGGCTAATGATAGGTTCTGTTCACAAGGCAGGGAGGAGATGGGTTCGTCTAGGTCAAGTGCTATACCGTCCAGCTAATGGTAAGTAGTCACAGCCCTTCCTCTATGTTGACACTGCTCGAAGCTCATTCTGCACATGTATGACTGTATCTCATCTCATTACACCCGGGTTAGGGTGGGGCAGGCATTATCATCAGCCCCGTTTCAGAGATGGGGAAACTGAGGCACAGGGAGGTGTTCGGCCTCCCTGTCAGATGGTGGGCACAGGAAGGGTGTGACCCACAGGGTTGGGAAGTAGGCTGGTAGGAGAAGGTTGGGGGTTGTATTGTGATAAAGGAAGCAACGAGCATGGGCCTGCACACAAGCAAGGAGGAGTCCCCTTGGCAACAGGGCCTGAGCTCACCCACAGCCCAAGGAGTGAGCTCCCGTCCGGGAGGCCGGCCAGCCTGGACAGGATGGTCCACGGGGGGAGCGTGAGCAGCCACCAGACAACGTGCTTGGCATTGACTTGGAAACGTGAGGTTACTGCCTCAGCACAGAGGCCAGAGAATTCTGCAGCACTACCGAGTGGGCGGACCGGCTGCTGCGGCTCTGTGGGTGGTGTCCCCCGTGCATTTAGGAGGAGGAGCCAAAAAAGGAATCACAGGGCAATGGGATTCCAGATCCCAGACGCTAACCCAGACAACGGAAGAGCAGGAGGCAAAGACAGGAAGGAAGGAGAATGAAACTGAACAGCAGACGGGAAATACACCCACCCACGATGGTCAACTGACGCTGGAGAAGGGTGCTAAGTCCAGTCAAGGGGCCAAGACAGTCCTTTCAATACACGGACTGGGAAAACTAGATGTCCACATGCACAAGAGTGAGAGAGTCCAGACCTCACACCATATAGCAAAACACAAACGCAGGCTCGATGTGGACCCAAATGAGCAAACTAAAGCCATCACAGTCTTAGAAGAAAATGCAGGGGCAAGGCTGTGGGGCTGAACCTTTATCAAGACACTCCCTCCTATGATAACAAAAGCACAAGCAGCAAGAGACACAAGAGAATCCGGCATCATCCCAGACGCAGGGGCCGCAGTGGCCCAGAGACAGCTCAGAAGGCAGGTGGGGCAGGAAAGGAGGAGGGGTGGAATGGGGGCGCAGACAGGGAAGTGGGGTCGGTGCAGGCTGGGGGCTGCAGGAATTGCTGGATGGGAAAGTGACTTGCTCTGGAAACTTTTTACTCACGTCACAATAAACAGACCAACTCAACGGGCCTTCAAAATGAAGACCTTGTGCTCACCAACGTGAAGGTGAAAAGACAAGTCCGGGCTGGGAGAAGGGCTGCAGAAGCCGTATGTCTATAACAGGAATCGCAAAGTAATGACTACTGTTAGACCGATGTATAAAACTCGAACGACGTCAAAACACCCACTCCTACAATGAATGGGCAAAGGACTTGAATGGACGACATTTTCCAAAAGAGAACATTCAAAGGGTCACCAAACACGTGACGAGATACCGCACCCTCACTCATCATCAGAAAGACGCAGATCAAAATCACAGGCAGATACCATTTCACTCCAACTGGGAAGGGCAAAACAGAAAACCAGCTTCAAAACTTAGGAACATAATGTAGCTGGAGGAGAAGCTGGAACCCCTTCTCCAACACTGGCTGGAGGGCGGGCATGTACAATGGTCCAGACGTCGTGCAAACCAGTGTGACAACTCTTCCACAACTAAGCCAGAACTGCCAGCGGGCCCACTCCCAGGCATGCTCCTTCCAAAGACATGAAAGCGGAGAACTAAACTGACCCTCAAGCCCTGTCCTTTGCAGCACTACCCGCAATCGCCCACATGTGTGAACAGCCTAAAGCCTCATTCACAGGTGAGGGCATCAGCAGAAGGTGGTGCATACCTGCAATGGAATATTGCTCAGCCAGAAGTATAGAAGAAACGAGGTCTTGATACGTGCTACCGCACCGACGGAGGGAGTTAGAACAGCTTGATGCTGCTGAATGAAATCACTATGACAAGACTTCACTGGCTTACATAAAAGGGCAAGAAAAGGCCAATGGAGAGAGACCAAACTGTATGAGGGGCTGCCAGGAGCAGTAAGGTGGTTAATAATGACAGAAAGAGCTAGCAAGTTGCACACCTGTAAGAAGATGAGCTGGCCAAAGCTGTGCCACAGCGACCTTTACAACAAGAAAGAGGCACTGCTGGGATGCTAACGTACAACCAGAAACAAACGCCAAGGTGTCACGAGACAGCTCTATTAATTGGCCTGATACCTGGCCGGTTTGTTCAGTCCTTCCCTTCTACCACCTAGCTCATCCCAGAGTGCCTGGGGCCTCCGGAGGTTGGAGTGACCATGCAATGGAAACATTTGGTCTCTTTTGACCTGGGTCAGGCCAGGAATGGGAAGGGGAATGTCAGGTAGGTCTCTACCATCAGACCCAGAGAGCGAGATGGTGCCTGGCAGCCAGCACTGAGCATTTTGATTCAAGTTTCTGTAGAAGAATCATGATCAAAAGAGGGACCATGCAGAAGAGAATTTCGTATTCCCATGAAGTCCAGACTTTCTGAGAAAATCTCTAAACCTTAACCTACAAATATCCCCTGAAATCTTAAAACCAATAGCAGTCTAGCCTAGCTGGTGAAAAAGGTCTGCCTCGGGCACAATGTCCTTCCAAGACCTGCCTATAGGGATCAAGGAATGACAGGCAGGTGGAGGCCCAGACAGGGACCTCAGGGGACAGTGAGCTCATGTCAATGAGGGAGGAAGAGACTGAGGATGAGGATGGTTGCACAAATGTGATCAGTGCCCCTGGCTTGCAGATGGAAGACCGGTTGAATCAGCGCGTGTTTCGCTGTGAATATTCTCACCGCTACCAAAATGAAAAACTGTTAGCAAACTAATCAAATAAATCAGCAGCCAGGAATGAAAGACCAGCGAGTCCCCGAGTGGCACAAATGCCTGACTACTGTCCACCCTCCTCCCCACCCCCCAGAGACCGGAAGAAAGGCCGCCTGGTGATCCGCTTCCAGAAATCCCAGCCTTGAAACCACAGAGCAGCCCCGCTCTGCTGACCTGACGTCACCAGGGGTTGAAGTGGACAACGGGGGTCTGTTTGGTTTTTTTTGGGGGGACCATCCCTGGGTTTCTGTTGCTGCTTGTTTGGGGGCCATGCAGGACTTGTCAACCGTCGCAGTCAATAACCGCGTGTGAGTTGGGGGTCAAGTTTTGCCACCAAAGGAAAAGAGAAAAACAAAGTATGGTTTCGGGGCCTTGGGACAGTGGGCATGGCGCGCGTGTGGCCTGGAGCCCCAGACAAGAGCTGCAAAGCTCGCGTTTGGGGATTTCACACCCTGGGAAGTGTGACGTACTCGCCACCACCCCTGGTTATGCGGCAGTGCGTTGGCCCTTGATGTAATTCTATTAATTCAGCCGGAAAGCCCCTCTGCCATCCTGGCTAATAGCTTTCATAATCACTAGCAAACCCCCGTCCGTTCCTTCGGCATAGGGAGGTGGGCTGTTGGGCCCACACAGTCAGTGCACACGACAAGGTGGGCTAGCAAGGAGGGAGGGACGAAGAGAGGACTTTTGCTCAGAGTACACTGAAAGGATTTTATAATCTGGTTAGGGGGCGAGGGGGGCAAAACCAGTCGCCCAACTTGAAGCATGTAATCAATGTCACTGAGGTATACAAGCAGAAATTCATTAAACATGTTGTGAAAACTGAGTGTGCACTTCAGAGCACACATAGTTCAACAAGTAGGTAAGGGGCTGACTACTAACAGAAAGGTTGGCGGTTCAAGCCCACCCGGACGTGCCTTGGAAGCGAGGCCTAGTGATCTCCTTCCAAGAGGGCAGAGCCTTGCGCCCCCGGGAGCAGGATCGCCAGCAGTGGAGCCGACCCGCACAACCGGGTGATAGCTCAGTGGTTAGTGCTCCCCATCACCTCACGGCCAAGAAGGAAAGGGTAGGAGACTCACAGCTGCTTTCCAGGATTGAGGGAGCCCCGATCTATCTCTCGGTCAAACTCGGTCCGGATGTCTTCTAGAGACCCGTTGTCCCCAAAGGCCCCCCACTCCGTGTTGATGCACATCCTCCCCTCGTCGCCTTCCACCAGGTCAATGTGCCTGAGTTCCTCCATGTAGCAGGCGTTGGTGCCAGTGCCTTAGAGACAAGACCAGAAGCTGAGGCCACACAGACCCGGGAGGGAAGGCAGTGCCTTCTCAGGGCGTCCGCGGAGGCGGGGAGAGCAGAGGCGTGCTGTTAGTTACCAATGATGAGGCCCACTTCACACTGCTGGTCATCGTAGCCACAGGTCATCATGGTCCCCACTGTGTCATTCACCACGGCCACGATGTTGGCATCGTAGTTCTGGGGACGGGAAAACGGGTGTCACCGTCTCCTCAGTGGGGGAGAGTGCCAGTCTTAGTGGCCACCACTACTCTTGTTGGTAGAGCCGATTGCATTAATACTGGTGCTCAAATTAATTGGACAAGGGTGCCAACTCTTTCCAGGGTGAACGTTACGCACAGAGCCACATGGCTCTGAAAACCCACCTCGTTATACCTTCGTGCCAACCGTCACAGTCCACTCTGCTGCCCTTGCCCCACCATCGCAGGGTTAGAGCCCCTGCCAGCGTGGTTCCCTGCACAATTCCACATGCCCCTGGAGGGAGGGTTAAATGCTTGCCTGGAGTCCTGTTCCTTTGGGCAGCTCCCTGGGGTGGCAATTCTGAGCCCCCAGAGTGGAACCAGCCCTGTCCTTCCGGACTCTGGACCCTCCCCCTCCTTTGCTCAGGTCTTCACGACCCCAGGGTCCTGGCACACTCTGACCACAGACCCCTGCCCTCCCTGCCCCCCAGAAAGGGCCTCGTCTGTCTGAGAGCACAGCCTGCTCCCCACGGCCCACACCCCCTGCGTGGCAGAGGCAGGCGGCCCCGGGAGAAATTACCCCTCGCTTTTTGATGGCTTTGTTCAGCAGCGCCACCACATCTGCTCCCTCTACTCCGCTCGCTTTAAATCTCTTTGTCCAGGTGATCAGGATGGCCTGCAAAGGAGGGCAGAGAGGACGGATGAGCCTGAGCCTGAGAAGCCTCGAGAACCCCCAGGTCCCTGGAGAAGTTGTTCAAAGGCAGGGAAGAAAGAGAGGCCCAGAGTGGACTCCGTTGCGGGTTCCCTCCATCCACTCGGTGCATTTCCCTGGGGCCTGCCAAGGGCTAAGACCCAGCCTACGAAAACTGACTCATGTTACAGTGAAGCCAGGGGCCAAGCAGGACGGCCGTTCGTGTCATTCCGCACGCAAACCTGACTGGATTTCAAACGCACAGCTAGAATCCTTTCAATAGAGAGCACTGGAAATGGTGTTTTCAGCTGATCACCTTTCCCATAGCTCTTGGCTCCCGGAGGGCAGCAAGCCACAGCCAAATATCAAGGGAAAGAAAATGCTAAGATGCTCCTTGGCTGTGGAGCTTCTGAGAGGCAGGTCCTGGAGGTTTAAGGGATACGGTTGACTCGGTGGGATTCATACCTCATTTGTCCAAGTCGGAACTTAACCCCCACCTCCCTGTAAAGCTGAGACTCTGCTCTGCTCACACAATCTGCTGCCATTTCTACTTGTCAGTCAATGGAGAAACATCCAGAAGACAGGCATCCAATGGTTGTTCACTTAGGGGCGTGGAGTGCAGGGGGTTCACCTTTTGCTTTACACACTTTCGTATTACTAACTAGTTTTACGTATTCCTTCTCCTCCCCCCACCCCCGAGTCAGCTATTAATAGAAACTACTGTTATAGTGCAGTGCTGTCTCCTCTGGGTGGGGAAGGTAGCTGTGCTGCAGAAGGCCTGGGAGGGCATAGGCCTGGGGATCCAGCTCTCCAGCATCCGCTGCCCTTGTTTACAACGACAGCCTAGGCAGCCGGAGGGCACTGGCAAGGGCAAGCCTTGGTGAGAATCGTGCTTCACATCTGCACCCACAGGGCCCAGTCACGGGACACTCAGCTCTCCCCTTACAAGGCCTGCTGGGGAATGTGTCCCCAAGGTGACCTTGGAAGTGGGCGTCTGAGACAGCAACACCTCAGGGACATTCCGACAAGCTGGAAGGTGACCGGCCACTGGAGGGGCATCCCCGGGATCCCAGATTTCCCTTCAACAAGCCATGTGACCTTGAAGAGGCCTCAGTTTCCCCATCTGTGAAACGAAGGGTGTGGCCTGCTGAGCTCTCAGGCCTCCCCCTTGCTCTCACTCTACGAGATTTCACAAGTATGTTGATGCCAGGGGTCAGTCTTGGGAGCGGGGCCCTGGAGGGTATTTACCGTACAGATGAAAGGGGTGCAGGGGCCCCGCCAAAACTCACTAGGCTGCACAAAGGGGACCTTCAGCAAAGCTACTAGCCCCTCTGAGCCCCAGTTCCCTTTGCAGAGCTTGGGGATCCCACATACTCAGCCCAGGGTGCTTGTTGTGAAGTACACGTTAGGACGGTGCCTGGCACAGGGTGGGCACCCAGGAAAGCTAACCCTCAGTATCCTGGGTGTGAGAAGTTTGCTCCAGTTACTCTCAGAGGGGGCAGGAACACTGGGAGGGAATGTGATTACACAACTCATTTTAAAGGTGATTTGATGGGGGGGGATGTTGTGGAATTGATTGTGGTAATGATTGTACAATTCTCCACGTGACTGAATCATTGAATTGTATGGCATGTGGATTATGCAATAAAACTGTAAAAAAGAAACTAGCAGGCAGTATCTTCTGTATCTAGTGCTACGGTAACAGGGGTTCTACAAGGAGATAACGTTAGTAAACAGAATTTATTCTCTCTCAAACACAAGAGTTACTCTCGTATATAACAGATATATATGTGCACACACACACATTTTTTCCTCCCTCCCTTTCTTGCCTGTCTGTCCCTGTAGAATTGGAATGGGGCTGAGTCTACTGTCAGGTATTCTTACCTGCAGCATCCCAGGTGCAATGCTGTCCCTATCTGGGTCTGCTTCGGTCCTTGTCCATCAGATAAATGAATGACCAACAAGAGGCTCTGTATGACAGGTCACCGGGAAGGCAGCAAGGGAATCCAGGGCTGGGCTCCTGCCCACGGGCATGGTTAAGAGGGTCCCGGCCCTGAGGCCGAGATCAGAATTACTGACCAGGTGCCTGCAGGTCAACCCCACCCAACGCTGTGAGATTCCAACAGATGACTGCCCCACCGCTCTCCACTGCCATCACCCGCCTCTGCTGGCTTGAGGTCTGTACCTGGTTCTCTCTACCCGTGGCCACAAATGGGAGCCTTCTCCAAAATCCCAGAAACAGCTTGACGGGTGGAAAAGCACAATCAGCCCCCGCGCCAATTTCTGCAAGTGCTCTTCAAAAACGTAGGACAGGACCGAGACCCTCCGAGAAGGGAAAGGGAAACCCTTATTTCCCAGAGCACTCTGGGGCGTCTGGGGGCCTGGCGACCCCAGGGGAATTCGTACCTCGTCAATTTTGGATTGTCGGCAGGGGAAGGAAAATGTGAATCCCACAGGCAAGTTCTTGTCTTTGATTTTCTTTTTCTCCATGAAGTCTCCCAAGCACTCAGCGACATGATCGAAGAGCTAGAGGAGGCAGGAGAGAGTAGTACAGGACGGGGGCTTAACGTTCCAGGAAAAAATGTGACCAGCCCTGTCCCACGCGTGGCACAGATGACGTCGGCTGACCCAGGCTGCAGAGTCCCTGGGGGAAGCAAAGGTTAATGCGCTCACCTGCTAGCCCCAAGCCTGCGGGTGAAGCCACCGCAAACCCTGTGGAGCACAGTCCTAACCCTAAGACGCTGGAGGCGCCGAGAGTCGAGACCAATTCCATGACAGCTGGAGCCGGGCCCCCCCGGGCCAGAACTCACAGAACCAGCGGACCCTGAGAAAAGCCACGGTGCACATGAGTGGCCACGGAGAACCGCAGACAGGAAGCATGTCAGAAGCTTCAAACACAACCGGACTCTGGTCTCTAACATGTTATCTGAGCAGCCAGAGAAGTCAAAAATGAGGCAGAGCCAGCTCCAGCCTCAGTCACACGCAGGCCGGGACGCACATCCCATATGGGATGAGGGGAGGGAATGGGGGTGGTCGGGCCCCCATCAAGCCCAGAAGTTCCCTAGACCACACTGGGGACCCAACAACCTTCAGACCAAGGTCACCTTCTCTGCTCCTTATTTGTGGGGGAGTAATAGACTGAGTAATAGACTCCAAGGGGCACACGCTGAGGGGCAGAGCTCTCTCTCTCTCTCTCACCGTTGTAGTGGGCACCCAGGTCCAGAGCCATTCTCAGGCCCAGGAGGCAACCCCCTCTGTCCTCTGCTGTGGGATTATAAAGAGACTTTTCCCCAGCTTTGTCTCCTCCAAAGACATGCCAAACATTAGAGGCTATTTGCCAGCATCTGGTGGGAGGTCAGATGCTTAGAGACATCCTCCCTTTCGGCAGTCAGCTGCCATACAACTGTCTGGGCCCACCACAGGTAGGACAATGGGCTACTTCTCTCTAAAGGCTTGCGACCATTAGTCTGGTCCACTGTAGGTGGGTTTACACCCTACTGATAGTGGTTTCTATGGAGATCCAGAGAACAGGTCAAACCTGCTCAGTGACATCCAAAGTTAGGCTGCCATCCTGAATCTAGGATCCGCCCTTCTTGTCACATGTGTACCCCCGTTATCTCCCCTTCCTATTGCATGGATACCCCTAGATCACCCCCTCTCATTACTGTATTACCTATAGCACAACCCTTTCCTGTGACATATGTCTTCCACTGTAATTAGGGGGCTTGCATGTCCCCAAAGAATATAAAAGCCTTGGTTAGCAAAAAATATCTCTCTCTCTCCACATGGACCACCAAGGGAGGCTGAGGTGAGCATGCTACCATGAAATGTGTCTGACTCCATTAGTTCCATCTCTCTTCTACCTCACATGCTCTCTATGACTTTACTATAATCTTTATTTATTATCACTGTACAATTGCGCCTACCGGACCTGTGATGCTGTGTTAGAGGCTGGGTACCCTGACACGCCGCAGTCACTTCGGCCGCCACCCACCAAGAGCCACCTTGAAGTCCTAGCAGCCACTGACTTCAAACACCCCGGTTCCTTTCGCCAGTTTCCCTCCGCACACCAAGGGGAGGGTGCACTATGGGCCCTGGGTACCTGCTGCCTCGCGCTCCAAGAGGCTGCGCCAAGCACAGCGCTCTGCTGCCCTCAATTTGCAGACGGGGCTGCAACGGAAGCGTCCCTGCTTGGCAACACGTTACCTTTGGTTGGACAGGGAATGCACCAGAGCACCCTGAGCTCTGAATGCAAACCGCCGAAGACGGGAGACTCACCACTCCAAAGGCGATGCATTCAGCTCTCTGATATCGCTCCTCGTTCCTAAGACGCACCCCAGAATGAACATAGTGTCGTGTGTGCTCCAACCAGAGGAGGCGTCAGCCGAACGGCCTCCTTACCCCTGGCTGTCATCTCTACGACTGTAATGGAAGCGTTGATGAGGCGGTGGGAGCATTCCATCCCACTGTAATTCCAGGTGCCCCCGCGTAGCTAACTCCTGTCTTTCTCACACAGTAGGTGTGACACTGCACTTTTCACCTGGACCCCTATATATACATACACACATCCCTGGATCACTATATATATATTACTGTCACTGTAAGTGAGCTTCTCGGAGGAACAAGGAAGGCCAGGGCCGAGCACACAGCCACAGGAAGCTACCCCAGCCTGTGTTTCCAGTCCAGGCCACGTTCCTTGCAGGGAATTCTTTCGAGGGGCCAAGAGTCATGATTCTGTTAGGTAGTCTAGCCTAAGGCTGGGGCGTCCATTAACGCAAGGCCAGAGGTCCGAGCTACGGAAACAAAGGAGTGGCACAGTGCACATGCGCAGAGGTTCAGGTTTCCCGCCAGGTACAGGTGGGTGGGTGCTGTACCTGGATTGGCCCACCTAATTCAATTCAGCCAATGGGGTTGACCAGGGGTCGTTCACCACGCCTCCCCGCGGAATCCTTGAAAAGGCAGGAGCCTGGAGTTGACCGTGTGACTTTGCGAGCAGTGTTCAGGCAGGCTGTACGTTCGGGGAGCCCTGTGGGTGCCTGTGTAAACCTGAAACTTCTTCTAACGCTCATGAAACTCACTTGGAGCACAAACCAGGCTTCAGCGTGAATTCTTTCTCTCACCAAGCCGAGGTATCTCTCTGCCCTGAGAGATCTAACAATCCCCCCCTCATTTGTCTTCGGAAGCCCCCGGCCCAGCTCTAAGGTCTGCCTTTCCTGCCAGGGTGAGGAAGCGTGACCAGCTTTGATCCTGGCACCTCTGCCCCTGAATCATGATTCCTCGGCTGGAGCTGAGGACACAGACCGGCTTCCCTGCTACGCTTGCTGCGACCTACATTCTAGATTAACATAAAGCATTGCTACGTGCATCCGCACCCACCACGTCACAGACTCGTGAGCTCCAGGCTCCCCTGGCAGCCCTCGCAGGGAGGGCTCCCACAGGGAGTGCCTGAGTGAAATCTGCGCTGAAGAAGCACGGTCACATGTATTGGGCCCCCCAAATTAATTTTTCCTGTCCTGATAATATGGTCATTATTAAAAATGTCCTTAATGCCCTCCTGCCCTCACAGAATCAGTCCCTCTGACTGAAGACAGACTGAAGCAGCAACCTCAAAATGTATTGTTCGAAATCCCCCAACCCAATTAAGTGACATTTAAACACACTGCTTACATTTCTGAAATTATTAAAACCCGAAATTGCATGCAGACTCGCGGCCACTCTGTGTGAGGAGAAAGGGAGGGAGGGAGGAAGAGGGTTCACACGTGCAGAGAGTGGCCTAGATCGAAAGGCAGCTCTTTGCAGTGTCTAAGGCTATGGGGTAAGTTTAATGTTGTTTCGAAACAAATACTTGAAACCGATTAGAACTGCACAAACATTACAGAAGACGAGAGTTCCTCCAATCAGTTTACACTGCTCCCCATCTGTGAGTCTGAGCTTCTCCGTGGGTCAGTTGATGTCCACACTCGAAGTCAGCAGCAGGCACGTCATGTCCAGCCTCACGCGAAGTGTGCAGTGGACGGGTTTCCACTTCATCTGCTTTTCCTCTTTAGACTTGTGCTGCCTGACCCCCTGGCCTTGCCTCCTTCCCCACAGCCCTTATTTCTCCTCGCCGTCTAACTATCAAAGACCAAGCGGTTCACGTGGACAGAACGGGACTATTCAAAGCCCAGCTCCATTCCCCCAACTGCAAAATGGGAATATGGTCCTCACCCCGTAGGGTTACCGTGAAGACTTCATGAGTTACTACAGATAAAGGACTTGTACATAACAAGTATGTGCAAGGAGTCCAAAAGTTGGTGGGAAAATTCCGTGATCCTTTTAATACTCTATCACTGTGATCACCAGCATCCTTCCTTCGCAGACTGCTTGGGGTGGGCAGTGGAAGAAACAGAGACAGCGGGCGATGAAGTGGCCATGGGGATGAGCAGAAGGGAAGGCAGGGACAGAGACAAGAGGACGTCGCTGGACAAGAACTCAGGGAGGCGTGTGCATTTGTGTATGGAGAGAGCGGTGTCTTCTTCCCTCAAATTGCAAATCCCCTGAAAGGTCAGACAAAGGGGAATGTTGGCAGCAGGCAGGCTGGGGAACAGAGTGACAGGTGAGTGCTTGCTGCCCCAAACCCGAGGCTTCTGGGAGTCTGAAAAAAGGAGCAATACAGTGGCCAAGTGGACACCAGCTGGAGCCTAAAGGCAGCAGCTTCCCACACGTCTGAGCTGGAAGGGCCCAGGAGCAGGGAGGAGTGGTGGGGGCAGCGGCCCAGCTGGTCCACCGGAACAGGTGAAAGAAGCCCACGGAGCAGCTCAGGTTCTGGGTCCTACCCACATGAGTTAGGAGAAGGCTCCTGGGCCGCCTCTCAAAGTCTGCCCCCGAACAAATGGGCTCTCTGGTGAACTAGTCACGAACCGTGTGGCGAACACACCCTCCTTAAAGCAACTATTTGGCAAGCTCTGAATAGGGAGCTTGGATGGCAGCCACAGCTCCAGAGCAAAGCTGCAAACCGGAGGAGCCAGAAGGTCTGCAAGAAAGATGGGCTTTGGGACTTGGGGTGACAGAGACCTTGATGGGGAGGGGCTGGGGATCCACCGGTGGTGGTACCCAGAGAGCTGGGAGCTGGGTGAAGAGGCCTTCCTCAGCATGCCTTTGGGAAAACCTGGAGGGGGTAGGCTTTGGGTACTGAATGTAAGGAGTGGGTGAAGGGGGGGGACAGTGATTTTCCAAGCAAAACCCTGCTTTCCAGCCGTTGTTCTGGGGCCAAGGATTTGTGCGATGCCATTACAGCAGGTAGCTGCCAGCCCTAGGATGTGCCCTGGAGCCGTAAACGATAATTCCTCTTACTCAACATGGCAACAGCCCCACCTCAGGAGGGTTGGGCTCGGAGGAAGGGATGTGTTCATGCAGGGCTTTGGGCCAAACTTCTGCTTGGGGGGGCAAGCCCAGGATCCCAATGGGATGAGGGCTGCAGGGTCTCCCTCCTCACAGTCCCGGCTCCGCAAAGGTCCAGCGGCTCACCCACAGAGCTGCACACTCCCACTACCCAGGCAATGGGAGTCTCTTCTGGAATAACCCCACCTCCACCCAGCTGCCCCTCCCTCCACAGCCCCAAACTCTCCAGCAGGGGCTCAGGTTTCAGCCGCCTGGCCAGCCGGGGCTAAGCCCCAGGGAACGGGGACCCACCTGGCTTCCACTGCCGTGAATGATGTTCTCAGGGGTGTCGTACACCTCGGACTCCATGCGCACATTCTGATGCTGGTCATGATTCACTTGCACCCGGAGAATCCGAAAGGAAGACCCACCAAGATCCAAGGCAATGAAATCTCCCTTTTCTGTTTAGGGAGACAGCAGGTATCCTGAATCAGATTCACAGGTTATGACACACACTGGATGGACCCCCTTCTCTGCGGGGACCAGGCCCTCCCTGCGTCCCCTCTGCACTGCTCTTTCAGGTGAGAGCCCACAGACCTTCTCTCAGCACTCCCCCTACCGGGAAAGCCAGCCTGAGGAAACTACACCAAGCTTGGGACCCTGAAACAGCCATTGCTTTCAGTAACCCCAGTCTCACACCCAACTCCAGGGGCATGAGAGCAATGGCTCAAGTACAATGTAGTCACCGCCCCCACCCCCCAAAAAAAAAAAAAATCCGCATCATCAAATTAGGGCCAGCGGCATTTCGCTCCGAGACAGCCATGCACGTTGAGGTCCACCCCAGCTCTGACACCCCGATGGGTAGCCCATAGCTTCGATAATTCCCTGAGGGATGCTTTCATCAGCAAAGGCCCTGGTGGTCACAGGAGAACAGACCGGCCATTGTCATTAGATCCCCAAACTGAGGTGGTCTCAAGAAACAGACGGAGCTGTGGAGACACGGCACACCAAGACCAGCAGGGAGCAGCATGCCTGGGGGCCACACACAGGACAACAAACCATGTAGCCAAGCATTGCCCCTGACAACTTTCTTTCTTTAATATTTTACTGTTTCATTCAGGTGGAAGTTTAGGAGCCCTGATGGCTTAGTAAGGAGTCCACAGGGTGTAGTGGTTACAGGTGGACTGCAATCCTCATGGTCAGCTGTTCAAAACCACCAGCAGCCCTGCAAGGGAAAGACTTCTCTTTCTACTCCTGTAAACAGTTCCGGTCTCGGAGACCCAAAGAGGTGGCAATGAGTCAACATTGACTTGATGGCAGTGCGTTTGGTTTTAGTGGCGTGGTGGTTATGCGTTGGGCTGCTAACCACAAGGTCAGTAGTTCTAAACCACCAGCCGCTCCTCAGGAGAAAGATGAGGCTTTCTACTCCCATAAAGAGTTCCAGTCTCGGAAACTCGCAGTTCTACCCTGCCCATGGGGTCAGTATGAGTGGGTCAACTGGATGGCCGTGAGTCTGGTTTAACGTGAAAGTTTACATAGGAAATGGGTTTCCAATAAAAACCCACACATGCATTGCTCAGTGACACTGGCTGCAAACCCTGTAAGGTGCCAGCACTCTGCCCATTTCCTCCCTGGCTTCTGGCAAAGGCTGCCCTCTGCATCTCACATAGTTGTTTCTTCTACAGAGCACATGCTTCCTGGGCACTAGGGTTTGCTTAATTACAGCAGGCGTCCTCAAACTAGGGCGCCCGCGGGCCACATGCGGCCCCTGAGGACATTTATCGGCCTGCTGGGTGTATTTGCCCCGTTTGTTTTTTTACTTCAAAATAGGATATGTGCATAAGAACTTGTTCATAGTTTTTTTTTTTAACTATAGTCCAGCCCTCCAACATGTCTGAGGGACAGTGAACTGGCCCCCTGTTTAAAAAGTTTGAGGACCCCTGATTTATAGGCTCATCTGTTAATTGGCTCAAAAGCACCAGCTGCTCTTCAGGAGAAAGACGAGGCTTTCCACTCCTGTAAAGAGTTCCGTCTCGGAAGCCCCCGGAGCGGTCCTTCTCGGTTCTGCAGGCTGCTCTGAATCAGGATCGTCTCAATGCAGTGTTTGGTTTTAGTTTATCTCCTTCCCCCAAGCACCAAGCCCTGTATACAGCAGGTGACCAATCGATGCTTGCTGCCAGCTCAGCAAGAAAGGTGTGGACAAGCTGGGTAGGTCTGAACTGCCGAGCCTTTGCTTACCCGCACACGCTCCGCCCCTGCTCCCTGCGGTGCTCTCTACCAGGAAGCAGCTCCGGGCAAGGGAAACGGGATTTGTGGCACACTTTTTGGGACATGCGGCATCTCTCTAGATCAGTGGTTCTCAACCTTCCTAATGTTGCGACCCTTTAATACAGTTCCTCATGTTGTAGTGACCCCCCAACCATAAAATTATTGTTGCTACTTCATAACTGTCATTTTGCTAGGAATCGGACGACCCTGTTATGAATCTAACGACCCACAGGTTGAGAACCGCTGCTCTAGATCCTTGCCCCGGCTTTCATCCAGGAGGGTGGGGGCAACCCTCTGCCCTGGTTCAGGGGAGAGATGTGTGGATGGCCATACCCAGAACCATCCAACTTAGTCATCGTGACTGTTCAAGACTGGCCCACGGTTCAGACGAGCCGATCATTTTCCTCGACCCAAACTCCCCTAGTTCCAAGGAGCCTGTGTGGAAGAGTGGCTAAGCGTTGGGCTGTCAACCCAGAGACTAGTTACCTGGCTGGTGGGTCAGACCTACCCAGAGGCTCCTCGGGAGAAAGACCGGGAGATCTGCTCTCAGAGATTGAGCTTTATAACACACTCACTGCCATCAAGTCAATCCCAACTCACAGCGACCCAACTGCATGGAGCAGAACCGCCCCCTGGGTTTTCGAGGGATGAGAGCAGCGGTTCTCAACCTCCCTAAGGCCGCCACCCCTTCATACAGTTCCTCATGTGGCGGTGACCCCCCCCACCATAAAATTATTTTCTCTCTTTTTTTCATACAATTATTTTCGTTGCTACCTCATCACTGTCACTTTGCTACTGTTATGAATCGGGCGACCCCTGTGAAAGGGTCGTTCGACCCCCAAAGGGGTGGTGACCCACAGGTTGAGAACTGATGGGCTAGAACATCTCACTTTCTCCCTCGGAGAAGCTGGTGGTTTGAAACCAGACCTTGCAGTGAACGGCCCAACTCAAGACCCACTCCATCACCAGGCTCCGTGGAGCCCCGACTGGGCCACAAGAGCCCCCACGAGTCACCACCCATCTGGAGAAACCTAACAACACGGGGGACAAGGACGCCCTGATGGACTACGAACGGAACGGCGGGAAGTTCCAATCCACCCAAGTGCGTTGGAAGAAAGGCCTGGCGATCTATTTCCAAAAGGTTCCTGCCATTGAAAGCCCTATGTGCGGTTCTGCTCTGAGAGGCATGCGGCCGCCGTACATCATCAGAGTCACCCTGAAGGCGCTGTGTTATCATGGGCAAGCGTAATTTCCCCCTGGGGCTGCCGGTGGTGATGGCTGGGGCTGGGCTGTCCCGCATAAGAAGGGGACACTCAAAGGAATGGACAGGTGACTGAAAGCTGGAGACACAGGTGAGGCCCTCGATTGTGACGTCAACCTAAAACTTGACTTCCCAGGGATGTCAACCTAAATTTTCTTTCTGTCCGTGCACCACGTTGTCTTCTTTCAACTACGGCTCGGAGGCCCCCAAGTCTTCGAACCACCATGCCCTTTTTACAGACCGGAAACGGAGGCTCAGGAAAACCAAGGGACATCTCTGAGGCCAAACAGCCATGTGGGGGGAGGTTAGATGCTCAGGCATTCCCCCACTGAGGGCAATCAGTTGCCAGACT